TGGTCTGCCATTTTCTTCTCCAGTTCATTCTGTAGATGAGAAACTGAGGCAAACAGAGTTATGTGACTTGCCCAGGGTCACCCAGCTAGTAAGTACCTGAGGCCAGATTTGAACTCAGGAAGATGAGTCTTCCGGTCTGGCACTCTATCCACTGCACCATCTAGCTGCTCCCATATATTGAGAGCAAGGTATAAAAGCCAGATAGTCCAAATGGTACACTAGTATCCAAAGAATATTAAAAAACCTGGAGGAACACCTCCCTTTCCTTTATGGGTTCTGGGGCATTCCTTTATGAAGGATCTAAGTGAGGAACACACATAATATAGGATTAGAAGGTCTTGAATGTAGTACTTATGCCATTAGATGGACTACTCACATTTCTTACATGGTACGTCCATTGAGGTGTTATAGAGTTATTCCCCATAATAATTTTCAATTCAGTTAAATTCAATAAAAAATGGTTAAACACCTACTATCTATGGACACAACTGAGATAAAGAAAGATAATCTATGCCCTCCAGGAGCTTACAATTCTAATGGGGAAGACAACACACACACACACACACACACACACACACACACACACACACGCACACACACGCACACATACACACACACACACTGAAAAGCAGTAAGGTGGGGCCACCAGGAGGTACCCAGTGCAAGACCATGATGTTCTATGGTGTTGAAACCAGGCAGAGTTGTTGATGGAAAATGAAGAGTTACCATCACTGTCTTGTAGGGGGAGTTATAGATAGTCTGGTAGCAAGCCTATGCCCACCTAAAGAAAGGTTAAATAACTTCCTCCTCTCTTCTAATAAGTCTGTAGTGATCCTTTAAGCATCCCATGATAGAATACCCATTCTAGATCCAGATGTTAAATGGAAAGTCTTGGGCTAAGGGTGATAACTTCTCAATTATCATTAGTAAATTTTTTGGGGGGACTTGCACCCATGATTTCCCTTAGGTTAGATTCCCAGATAGGAAACTTTCTGTAGCCATAGAGATCAGAAAGTGTTCTGTAACTTGTGGTCTTAAGAGTAGTGTCTGGAGGCCCTCAGAAGGTGTGACTTGCCAAGGTTATAAGAAGCAATATGTATTCAAGGCAGGACTTGAACCCAGATCTTCCCGACTATGAAGCCAGCTGTCTACCAATGGCATATACTGACATTTGTTATTGTTAACTGTAACATGAATGTTTAAAGGTTTTTGATGCCTTTTTAATACCACACGCTTTCCTAATATACCACCCCTTCACTGAACCATTGTTTATATCCAAGAAATACAAAATAGCAAAAGTAAGCAACAAGGGACCTCATCAAACAGTGTATGGAACATCCAGAACATTAATCTCCCACCCCTCTACTGAGAGGAAGCATGTACTATTACTATTAGTTGATATTTTCTTCACAAATTGCATTGGGCCCTGGGAAACTAAACAGTCTCTTCATTGGTCTAAAACATCTGCACTGGTAAAACAAAATGGATGCATGTTGCCGTTGAATTGTGTGGGAAATCCATTGATTTAGTGTATCTATACCTGTACCTGTAACTGCACCTGTACCTGTATCAATCTGTATCTGTATTTAACTATCTCTACCTGTATCTGTATCTGTTCCCAATGTTCTCAGGCTGCTCTCTGCCACTAAATCTCTTTTGGACACCAGTAATTCTTTTTTTTTTTAAAGAAAGTGAAAAAAGTGTGCTTCAGTGTGAATTCAGAGTCCATCAGTTCTCTCTCTGGAAGTAGACAGCATCTTTCACCATGGATCTTTTGAATTTGTCCTGGATTATTGTTGATCAGAGTGTATAACTCATTCACAGCTTACACTAACACCCTCACAATATTTCGGTTACAATGCGAAATGTTATCCTAGCTCTATTCACTTCACTTTTTGTGTTTAAGTATATGTGTATGTGCATGCATTTATGTATATGTATGTATGTGTATATATGTGCTCATGTATATGTGCACATGCCAATACATATGTGTTTGTATGTATATGCACATATATGTGAACATACACAATGCAAATATATTTTATATGCTTATGTATATATGTGCATATGTTACATTTTATATTTGTTTTACATATATACATGCATGTATGTGTATGCATGTATGCATGTGTGTTTTCAGTTCACAGCTGATGTAATGCTTAACAAGATTTTCAGAAACCATATTGCTTGTTTCATGTAGCACAATAGTAAAGCCAGTAATTCTTCCTATAATGTTACTATAATGCTACTGTAATTAATTGTGAATCATAATAAATATATATAGACATACATAATGCACAAATGTGTGTATATACACATCATCTATCTATCTATCTACGTATCTGTCTATGTATCTATCTATCTATCTATCTATCTATCTATCTATCTATCTTTCTGTCTATCTATCTATCTACACACATTCAGGGTGTCCTAAAGTCTTAGAGAAGTTTTAAAATTTAATAGCTTAAAATATGAATAAGGAGGTGATAGTCTGACTATACTCTACCTTGCTCAGATCACTTCTAGAATATCATTTTCAATTCTGCACACTGAATTTCAAAAAGAACATTGATAAGCTGGAAAGCACCCAGAGGTGACTAATCAGGATGGTGGCATATCAGGATATGTTGTGGAAACTGGAGATATTTAGGTTGGAGAAGAAAAGACTCAAGAGGATATGATGTCTCTCTTTCAGTATTCAACAGATTGTCATGTAAAAAATCAAGTCAAATATGTATGCAAAGAAAATATGTATTCAAGAAAAATCATTTGACTTGTTCTATCTATACAGGTGAAATACGTATGTGTTTATATATCTACACACATATGGGAGAGAGAGAGAGAAGAAGAAGAAGAAGAAGAAGAAGAAGAAGAAGAAGAAGAAGAAGAAGAAGAAGAAGAAGAAGAAGAAGAAGAAGAAGAGGAAGAGGAAGAGGAAGAGGAAGAAGAAGAAGAAGAAGGAGAGAAGAGGGAGAGGGAAAGAGAGAGAGAGAGAGAGAGAGAGAGAGAGAGAGAAAGGGGGAGAGGAAGAGAGCAAGTCAAGTGATATTTTTCTACATGACAGCCATCAAATACTTAAAGATAAGTATCATGCCTCCCTTAGTCTTCTCTTTTTCAACCTAAACATTCCCAGTTTTCTTAATTGATCTTGATATGTCACCTTCCTGGTTAGTTTCCTCTGATGCTTTTCAGTTTATCAATGTTCTTTCTACAATATGGTGTACAGAACTGAGAACAATATTCCACAGGTTTCTGAATGGGTCAGAGTTACTATCACTTTTTTCCCCTCTATGCCTTTCAATGTAACCAAATGACCATTTTGAGCTTCTGTTCCACACTGTTAACTCATTTGAGTTTGCATTCTGCTAAAAACCTTGAGGCAGCTAGTTGGTATAGTAGATAGACTGCTGGGTTTGGTGTTAGGAATTGTTCAGTTGTTCTTCATTTGTGTCTGACTCTTCATGATCCTGTTTGGGGTTTTCTTGTCAGAAATACTGGAGTGGTTTTCCATTTCTTTCTCTAGCTCATTTTACAGATGATGAAACTGAGGTAAACAAGGTTAAGTGATTTGCCAGGATCACATAGCTAAGTCAGTGTCTGATGTCAGATTTGAACTCAGGAATATGTCTCCCTGACTCCAGGCCTGGCACTCTATCTGTTGTATCACCTAGTTGCCCAGAAGGAATTAGGAAGATGAGTTCAAACCCAACCTCAGATTGATGATCTCAGGCAAGTCATTTAAACTTTTAGCTGCCTCAGTTTCCTCAACTGGTAAATGGAGATAATTATTGCACCTACCTATCAGGGTTGTTGAGAAGATTAAATGAGATATTGTTTTTAAATGGCCTGACACACAATAGGCACTTAATAAATTATTGTTTCCTTTCTTCCTGCAAAACTCAGATTTTTTTTTCAAACAGACCTAACATGTCTCTCCCATATCATATTTGCAAAATTGATTACTTGAACCTAAGTGTAGATTTTACATTTATCTGTATTAAATCTCATCTTACATTAAACCAAATGTTCTATTTTGCCAGCATTTTTGCTGTTTCTTGTGCACAGTCTTCTAAATCTTAGCACCTTTCCTTTCCCAGTCTATCTCCTGGGCCTATAATCCTCTTAGTGTTCATTTATGCCTCACAGAACCCCTACCTTGCTTCAGTGCTCATCTCAAGAGCCACCACCTTTAAGAAACCTTCTCTGATCCTTTCATTTTTAGAGTTCTCTTCTCTCAAAATTTCCTGGAATTTATTCTGAATGCATTTCATATTTATTTATCTTCACATGTATTATTCTCCTCCTTTAGAATGTAAGCTGTGTAAGGTCAAGGTTCTTTCATTTTTTTCTTTTATCCCCAGTGGCTGGAACATAATACGTGCTTAATAAATGCTTATTGAGTTAAATTTAATTTTATTCAGGTGCACTTTGGGCTAAATGGCTTCTGAGCTCCCGTCTAACCCTGGAGTTCTGTTTCTATGATAATGGCAGCCTTGAACTCAACAGGCTCTTCATCAGGGATTCTAAGCCTTTTTTTTTTATAAGAAACACATTATTCTCTTATTTTAGTCCCTTTTTTCCTTGGGTTATTTATGGTGGCTGAGGGATAAAATCATCAAAGGGATGGAATGATCAAGGACTGGGTGAGAGCTATCCAGGCCCAAGGACATGCCCTTGGAAGGTAACAGGAGGTTGTTTGAACCATTCTTCTATTCCCTCCCTTCCCTTCACTTCACAGGAGATAGAATGACATTTTAAGGATTGATGACTGGTTACCTGGATTGGACAAGAGAAGAGTGAAGGGATGAGATAATAATGAGGGAGAATTATGTATACTGGAAAAAAAAGAATTGCTGGACCTAGAGGGGAATCTCTGAATGTACAGTGTCTTCATGAAGCTACAATAACTTTTGTTATCGAGGAAAGAATAAGGGTAATGCTGCTTCGTTTTCATGCCTGTGTGATGAGAATAAATTACTGCTGTGGTGGGATATGACTGAGTGATGTTTGGGAAGGAGCATGGGAGGAACAATGCGTAAGAGGCACAAGCAGGACTGGGACAAAAGTAAAATGTGACTTAGTGAACATAATGTCCTGTGTTCAGATGGCAAAGATACATTGAGCCATCCTATGCAACCTGGCTGTTGAGCATGCCCAGTTTGCCTAATGTGGATCCCCCGTATCCTCTACTACATGGGTGGGAAAGTCTTTTTTGATTGACTGCCTGCATCTTTAAAAGTGATGAGACTGAGCTGTTCATTCTCTTTTCTGAATCTTTTGTCTGCACTCTCTTTTCTGCCATCTTTCAACCGTGAGTTCTTATTCTGTTTCATTTTTTAAAATTTATTTTATTCTGAACTTAAGAAATAAAACAAGCATTTCTATAACATAGTAGAATAGAAAAACAGATGATTGTACATGAAACTGCAACTCTATTGTGTACAACTTGCTATTCCTTTTAAATATATGTTAAAGTTATCATGTAACATTTTCCCTTTTTTTTCCATCCAGCCCTAGAGAGAGCTACCATTAGATACAAATATAGTTCATATATGTATATATGTATATATGTATACATATGTGTGTATATAATATATACACATGTATGTATATATGTGCATATATATATATATATCTATATATATATATAATCATTCTATACATACTTTTATCAGTTCTTTCTCTGGATGCAGATAGCATCTTCCATCACAGATCCTTAACAGTTAATTTGGGTATTCATAATAGTCAAAATGACTTATTAGCTCAAAGTATTGCTATTACTGTATACAACATTCTCCTGATTCTACTTGTTTTGCTCTTCATTATCTAGTGCATCTATCCATGTTTTTCTAAGATCATTGAGCTCATCATTTCTTATAATACCATATTATTTGATCATGATCATCATCACTAATTCACTGTTGGTGGAACTGTGAATTTTGAAGAGCAATCTGGAATTATACCCAAAGAGTTATTAAACTGCCTATCCTCTTTGACCCTGCAATACCACTAGTAGGTCTGTTTCCAAAGTTGATTTGGGAAAAAGGAAAAGAACCTATATATTCTAAAATATTTGTAACAGCTCTCTTTGTGGTGGCAAAGAAATGTGGACTCTTTTTCAGTAACTGCTATCTGCTGTGCCTAGTGTTGATGCCATGAACTGAACCAGTGAGAGAGGAAGGATTTCTTTCCCCTGTTCTCCTTTTTTTTTAACCCAGTGATGAGAACTGGGTCTGGGTGTTTGTTTCTGTACTTTGTTGTTTGTCCTCAATTTCAGGTGCTGGAGATGATACTCAGTACCTAGGAGTTCAAGCCATGATAACTTTGGAGCCAGGATCGTATGCGGGGTGGTGTAGTCAGCCAACATGGCATAGAAGCCCTGAGAAGCCAGAGTGGTAAGGACTTGATCCCAAGGGGAACTTTGGATTTGGAACTGGGACAGTGTTCAATGGTAACCAAGCTAGGCTGTGAACCTAATGCCTTTTCTCTCCTCAGAGACTGAGGTGGTAGGGGTGATAAGTGGGGATAATGCCCCCCATTTGTATATTTGTGATTATGCCTTTTGGAAGTAAATATTCTTTTGTAAAACCTACTGTGTTACATATACAAGTCCATTCCCCCAAAACTTTTAGGTGGAACAATATCCAGCTCTTTGTATGGTGCCAGTGAATTGGGAACTAGGGGTGCTCATCAGTTGGAGAAGGACTATATTTATGGTGTATGGATGTAATGGAAAATAATTATGCTATAAGAAATGATGAAATGGATGTTTTCAGAGATATCTGGGAAGATTTATTTGAACTGATGCAGAATGAAGTAAGCAGAACCAGGAGATTAATTTATACAGCAACTAATAATGTAAAGAAAAATAACTTCAAAAGATTTAATAACCCTGATCAACACAATGATCAATAGCAATTCCAGATGGCTAATGATAAAGAATGCTACCCATTTCCTGACAGATATGATGAATTCAGATTACAAAATGAAACACACTTTTTGGATGGGAGCATGGGAATTTGTTTTTCTTGACAATGCAGATTTGTTACAAGGGTTTTCCTTTTCCATCTGTGATGGGATCTATTTTAAGGAACAAAAATAGATTTTTTATTAATTAAATTAAATATTTGAATTCTAAAAATTTATTTTGAAGAATAAAATTTAAAATGAAATAGATGAAACCTTATAGGTTCAACAAAGGCATTAGATAAATTGAAGCTTTGACTAAAGTATATGAGTGACCATATTGAAGGAAGGGATGGAGTGTAATGTTCTATTCCTCCTTTTCCCCTAAAAGGTGTATGAGATCAATTCACTTTAATACATCAACAAACCTTTATTCATCACTTATGATGCGCTAGGCATTGTATTAGGCACTATAAATACAAAGACAAAAATTAAACAATCCCTGCCCTCAAGGAAATTATTATTATTTTTTCATAGGGTAAAACAACATGTAAACAGGTAAGTAAATATTAAATATCTACAAATTAAATTCAATAACTGGGGAGATAATAAAAGGTCTTATTCAGGAAGTTGACCCTTGAGCTAAGCCTTGACTAGAAATAGAGATCCTGAGAGACTGTGATGAGGAGGGAGATTTCAGGCTGGGGAGACCTGTCCAAAGACAACGAAGAAGGACATTTCTCTGTACAAGAATCAGCTAATATAGGAAGTAGAGCTCTTGAAGTGGAGTAATATGAAATGTTTTGAAAGATGGTTTGGAGCACATTGTGGAAGACTTTAAATGCCAAACAGCAATTTGTATTTTATAGTGGGGAAGAAAGGGAGCCATGGAAGCTTTTTGAGCAGGAGAAGTGACATAGCTGAATCTGTGCTTTAGTCATGTCAACTGGCATTAATGAATTACAAAGGGGAGTAACTGGAAGTTGGGAGACCAGTTAGGAGGCATTATGTTTTGATAACATGTATGTTATGATATGAATTGAGTAAATTTTGCTTTGAGCACATTTTTCAATATTTTATGACATTAAGATAAATACACATGCATATTACATATATAGTGCGTATAGTGTTTACACATAATAGGTGATTATAGGATCAAAGATGTAAAGCTAGAAGGGACCTCAGAAGTCATACTCTATGTTTATTGAATTTAATTGAATTGAAAACCAGCTTCAGGAATCACTTTCTCTATTACTCTCACTTTAGCTTTATTGAACACTGTAAACTTTAAAGGACTGTTTACATAAAGTTAAATGGCTCTTCAAGGTTTACAAAGCATTTTGCATATTGGATCCTTATTTTACAAATGAGGAAACTGAGGCTCAGAGAAGTTAAATGATTTGCTCAGGATCACACAGCTAGTAAGTGTCAGAGGCTTAAACTGAATAACAACTTCTTTGTCACTCCAGTCCCAGTACTCTATGTACTACACTTTGCCATTTTTATCAGACGCACAGGTATAATTATTTCAGCTTTTCCTGGTATGATAATGATGATAGCTATCATTTATATAGTGCTTTAAGTTTTGCAAAGTACTTTACATATGATGTCTCATTAGGTGGTGGCGTGCACCACAACTTATAGTCTATAATTTACAGTCTTAGAAGATTGTGCAAGGCTCAAAATCACACAGCTAGTAAATGTCAGAGGGGGAAAGGATTATGCCTCCTCAGGGCACATGGTGTAGATGTTTGGGAGAAGGGGATATGAGGATAATAAAGTATCCCTAAAATCTAGAAGAGAGGGATGTTGACGTGGCGCCCTTGTGTGGTGGGCATCAGGGATGGGGAGTCTTTCTTGGGATACACCGTGTGGATGTTTAGGTAGAGGGAACACAATTATGTCAATAAGTTTATAGGGAAGAGAAGTTTACTTGGTATGCAGGAATTTAAATCAGTACCACTTCCTGGGCAGCTAGGTGGCACAGTAGATAGAGCACCAGGCTTGGGATCAGGAAAACTCATCTTCATGAGTTCAAATCTAGCCTCAGATACTTACTAGCTGTGTGATGCTGGACAAGTCACTTAACCCTATTTGCCTTAGTTCTTCATCTGTAAAATGAGCTGGAGAAGGAAATGGTAAACCATTCCAGTATCCTTGCCAAGAAAACCCCAAATGGGGTCACAAAGAGTCATTCAGGACTGAAACAAGTTAACAACAATAACACCTCTGGGAAAATGTCCTAGGGGTACAAGAAAGGACACATGCTGTCTATCGTTGGCTAGTCTCACACCACCCCAGATAAGAGTCATAGCAAGAGTAGTTAGTATTCAACCTAATTCTTTCTTTCTTTCTTTTTTTTGGCTAGGCAATGGGGTTGAATGACTTGCCCAGGGTCACACAGCTAGTAAGTGTTATGTGTCTGAGGCTGGATTTGAACTCAGGTCCTCCTGAAGCCAGGGCCTATCCACTGCATCACCTAGCTGCCCCTCGACCTAATTATTTCCACGCTCCTTCTTGCACACCAATCTGATGTGGTGATCATTTTGAGGTTCACCTCTGTATAGCTGCTTGAAGAAAGGATGAAGTGAAGTGATGGGGAATTTAATCTATTTCAATACAACAATAATACTTATCTAGGAATACACATCCCACATTGCTTTCTGAATTAGCTTAAGGTGACATTGTGCTGGGGGTACATGTATAGAGTCACCATGAGTATTAGCAGAATCTGAACATGTACATTGACATGACATAGTGTTCTAGAATGTGGAAAGAGGTATAAAATATTAGGACTTTTCTTGGTGGAAGAGATATAAAAATGATTGAAATGCCGATTTTAAAAAAAGTGTCCATTTTAACTATCTTCTCTGTTGGTTTTGGTAGGAACTACTTTTAGTCCTCTCCACCAGCTTTCATCACTTTGGGAAAAAAGAGTTGCCTGTGATGGAATAAGATAAATCCATGTGTTGCCTGCTTTTGCTCCAGGCCCGGGGAGAGGGCACACAATCACCCTCGGCCTAGAAGACAGGTCGAATTGGTTCCTGAAAGTTTGCTTTCACCTAAGGTTAAGGATGGAAATATTTATTTATTTGTTGTGATGATCCTTTTACTATAGGGAGCTTCAATAATCAATGGTGCAATTCACTGACAGTTTGATTTCTCAACAGCGCATTTGCTCAGAGATACGAAGCCAGAGTTCAGGAGTCCAAGGACTTGAGTTCAAATCCCTCCTCAGTACTTGGCTGGCCTCGAAAAAATTACTTCATTTTTTCTGAGTATGAGTTTCCTAATCTGTAAAATGAAGAGGTAGGAATAAATGGCCTCTGAACTCTTCATCTATGCTTTTTTTTTGTTGTTGTTACTATTATTATTATTATTATCATTAAGGCAGGTGTTGCAAGTCTATTTATTTTTTTTTCAATCCCCTATTTCTGGTTCCCTGAAGATAAAATAGACATTTAAAAATTCTTAATAAAACCCTGATTGATTGAAATGAAAATAAAGTTCTAATTATCTCTTCATAATTATCACTAAGCCTAGTGTAATGAGGTTTAATGGCCTCAGTTTCTTTCTTCCTTTTAATTTTTTTTAAATCAAACAAGCTAGATCCTCATATTCAAATCCAGTAAGTACTAGCCTTCTGAGGTGGGAGCACTGCAATTCCCATGGACTCGCTGGGCTTTTAAAGAGAGACATTAGAATGGAGAGGTGTTTTCAGATTGGGACTTTTGTACTGAGAATCTCAGGGGCGGTGGCTCCTGTTTTCATAGCTGAGCTGTCTGCTGCCTTGTTCAGGCAGGGGGAGAGGGGTTTAGGGGCCTGATTTCTACTGATAAAGTCAAATGGGCCAGAGTTTTTCATATACATTTTATTAGCTGCTTTGTACCCAACTAAAATTTTTTAAAAAGGTAGTTGAGCAGGTCAACAAGGGATCAAAGACAGACAATGGCTGCTTTTAAGGGTTGCTGCCTTGCATTTTTATCTATATACAGAGAAACTTGGGCTTATTAACATTTACTTTTCTTCTTAATTTTCTTCCAGTAAAAAGTGATGTACTGTATGGGGTTAAGTTTCAGGCAGCAGGTTTAATTAAAAAGCAGCAATCTTATTTTCATTTAAATGTGTTTTTAATTCCACAGAACTACTGTTACTCATATCTGAGTTTTCTTTTATTAAATCCTTAATGAATGGTCAGGGCTACTGGACATCTCTATTTATTCTTAGCCAATCCAAGCTGGATACATAGCAGTTCCAACTTACCTACCCTGCAGTGAAGTGAACCAGCAGGCATTTAAAAAAGAACTTCCTACCACATGCCAGACAAAATAAAACAATCTCTGTCCTCAGGGGAGACAAATGAACACAATAGGAACACTGTTGGCTTTGAAATCAGAGAATCTGGGCTCAGGTTCTCTCTGACCTGTCCTATCATGTGACTTTGGGAAAGTCCACTTACTTCACTGCTCCTCAGCTTCCTCCATTAGAT